AAAAGACTTCCATTTTAATATCATGTGTGTATATATGTGTATGTGCCTCTATTTGTGCATTTCTGTGCACATGTGAGTGGTACCCTTGGAGTCCAGAAAAGGGGGTGGGATGCTCTGGATGTGAAGTTACAGATGTTATAACCTGGCCTACCTGGGTGCTAGGAACTGAACAAGGGGCCTGTGCTAGAGCAGTATGTGCTCAACTTCTGAGTCATCTCTCTAGTCTCCAGTATTTGGTGTTTTTCTTTTTTTTTGGAACTATCTAATATTCATGAGGTGTTTGAATATTACCTCATGAGGCCAGATTGAGATCCAAAAATTTTAATAAAAGGAATTTGAGTTAAATGGGATATTAATTTTTAAGGCGTTATCAGTGTCCTATTTCTGAGTAGTAAATTCACGATGGGTGTTAAGTTGCTGTCATTAGAGCTTTATGCCTTTGTGTTTTAAAAATATCTGGATGTAACAAATATTGAATTATATTTGACACAATACATTTTTTTTTAATGAAGCTCTTACCAGTAGTGAGCAGGCCATGATACTTTTTACAATCATGAAACATTTTGCTACAGTGTCTTCTCTCTCTCTCTCTCTCTCTCTCTCTCTCTCTCTCTCTCTAAGACAGGGTTTCTTTGTATAGCCTTGGATGTCCTGGACTCACTTTGTAGACCAGGCTGTCCTCGAACTCACAGAGATCTGCCTGCCTCTGCCTCCTTGTGCTGGGATTATAAGCTTGTGCCACTGTGCCCAACTAGTGTGCTTTTTTTCTTAATGATTTATTTATTTTTATTTTATGTGCATTAGTGTCTATCCTGTATGTATGTCTGTGCGAGGGCATCAAATTCCCTTGGGTTGGAGTTACAGAAAGTTGTGCACTGTCATGTGGGAATTAGGAATTGAACACAGGGTCATCTGGAAGAGCAGACTGTGCTCTTAACTGCTGAGCCATCTCTCCAGCCCCTGTAGCGAGTGCCTTAATTTTTTTATTTGAGAATAGACATTAATCATTTCAGAATCTAATTTGTCTCACTGGAAATCTGTTCAATAATTATAGTCTAAGGCTCAAACAAATTCCAATTTGTTACACAATTTGTCCCTGCACAAATGAGAAAGGACTGGACGTTCTAGAGAGATAGCATTTAAACTCCATGACCTTTATTGTGTCACATACCCAAGTATATATCGTTTATAGAGGATGGAGATATATACACAGATGATGGATAAAAAGCTACAGAGCTCAAACCTAAAAATAGCATTTTGTGGTCTAACTCATTTCTAGACCATAGCTATTTGGGGTTCAGTATGCAAAGCAGCTTTATAAGGCCATCTACTGCTTTAAATGTAATAGCATGGTAGACGTCCAGGAAGGAACAATCCCGTCTTGGTGAAAAGAAAATCTGTTTGGGGAATGTAAAACAAAGCAAAGTGTTCTTTGCAGCTAACCTCTTTTGAAAGCTCGAGGCGGGTATGGGAAACGTCATGGAGAAACCAAGTCTGAGACATGTGTCTCTAATCCACAGTAGGCTAATGTCCCAGGAGGAACTGGCTGTCTGGCAGAGACAACGAAGGCAACATGTGAGGCCCAGGTGCTTCCACTTATAGTCACACTGGATCCAGGGCATGCCTGCGTTCATGTGACAGGCCATGCCCTTGGCCACGGCTATCATTTGGGTGAAAGTAAACAGTAAGTAGGACCTGACAGAGTTATGTTTGGAAGGGCTCTCAACTAAACGAGGCATTGTGTATGAAGTGCCTGGCAAACAGAAAGGACCCAATAAATGCTGGCTTTTTAAAAATTCTGCACTTGCATTGGATGAAGCCCAGAAATAGCAATGAAAGCAGCAGTTGTTTCCAACCTGGGAGGCCCGATTGCAACCATTTTATTCAAACTTCGAAGAGGACAGAGTTGTATTGTATTGTGGTTTGCGGGATGAAAATACTGTTGGACTTAACTGTAATTTTATCATGCTACCTTTGTACCATCCCGCATTGACTTTAAAATCAGCCATCTTGGGTGGACTTCCTGTTGTTTTTAGCAGACTTATAAACAAAGTACTATTTTTCCTATACTGCTTTTCATAGGTGCATGGGAAAGGAGAGAAGGTAGCGTGAAACAAGTGGCCAAAATGAATGACTGTCCTGTGTAAGTATGTTAGGGACGCGCCTACAGTAACAAACAGACGGGAGCCTATGTAAGAAGTTTGCAGGCTGTGGAAAGCTGGATTTCACTCATAAACAGACACTGCAAACACAAAAAAAGAGGGCATCTCCCCCCCAGGGGTCTCTGACCCACAGGGAAAACAACAATGAAGGGTCATCAAGAAGTTAAAGGGAATTTAATTTTTTTTTTTTAAATAGTGGGTTATCTTTCAAAGTCACAGTAAAAAGTGAAAAAGCTGACTTAGAGTGAGCTGATGTACCAGTATAGTTCATGAGTAAGGCACTTGCCTAGCGTATATAGGGCTCTGGACACACACGCGCACACACACACACACACACACACACACACACACACACACACACACAGAGAGAGAGAAATAAACAGAATCACCAAAGAATAACAAAAGGATAGCACAGACTTGTATTCAATACACCCTACAGTGGGACTATTTAGATTGCATCTAGTTACAGAATGGGCAGTAATGGAATGAGGAAAGATGGGTGGGTAAGAGAGAGGAATTGAAATCAATACATAATAAAGAAAAAAATACCAATACAGGACAGCCTTTTTTTAAAAAATTACTTTTTAAAGTACTCACCAGTCATATTTTGACCCATGTTAACTTGTTAACATTTTTAGAAACTACACTTTTTAATTTTATTTTAAAGGATTAAAAATTACAACATAGATCTGTCCCCACTTTCCTTCAAATTCATGGCTTTTTCCCCCTTCAGTTTTCTCTTTTTTATTTATGTTTTTATTAATTACAGTTTATTCACTTTGTTTCGCTCCCTCCTCCCTTCCGAATCCTCCCTTCCCTCCCTCTTCTTCACGTATGCCCCTCCCCCAGTCCACTGATAGGGGAGGTCTTCCTCCTCTTCCTTCTGATCCTAGTCTATCAGGTCTCATCAGGAGTGGCTGCATTGTCTTCCTCTGTAGCCTGGTAAGGCTGCTCCCCCCTGAGGGGGAGATGATCAAAGAGCAGGCCAATCAGTTCATGTCAGAGACAGTCCCTGTTCCCATTACTATGGAACCCACTTGGACACTGAACTGCCATGGGCTACATCTGTGCAGGGGTTCTAGGTTATCTGCATGCATGGTACTTGGTTGGAGTATGAGTCTCTGGAAAGACCCCTGTGTTCAAATTTTCTGGTTCTGTTGCTCTCCTTGTGGAGTTTCTGTCCTTTCCAGGTCTTACCCATTTCTTTCATAAGATTCCCTGTGCTCTGCCCAAAGTTTAGCTATAAAATACATCTATACACCTAAAGAAACTAATCAAGAAGGAGGACTCTGACTAAGATGCTCAATCCTCATTCAGGAAGGCAAAGAGGATGGACATCAGAAGAGGGAGAAAACAGGCAACAGAAAAGAGTGTTCCACAGAAGGCCTCTGACAGACTCTCTCAAAGCAGATACTGAGGCCTCATTTTCTTTTTTTGTTCGTTTTTTCTTTTAAATATTTTTTATTTTAATTTTTATAAATTACAATTTATTCACTTTGTATCCTCCCTGTAGCTCCCTCCATCATTCCCTCCCAATCCCAACCTCTCTCCCCCTTCTCTATGCATGCCCCTCCCCAAGTCCACTGATAGGGAGGTCCTCCTCTCCTTCCTTCTGATCTTAGTCTATCAGATCTCATCAGGAGTGGCTGCATTGTCATCTTTTGTGGCCTGGTAAGGCTGCTCTCCCCTCAGGGGGAGGTGATCAAAGAGCAGGCCAATCAGTTTATGTCAGAGGCAATCCCTGTTCCCATTACTATGTACCCACTTGGACACTGAACTGCCAAGGACTGCATCTGTGCAGGGGTTCTAGGGAGTATTTTCTTTATTCTTCTCTCATACTATACATGCCGACAGGAACTTCTCAACTTCTCCCTCCAATCCTCCCAGCCGCCTCACCCCTTCAGCCCACAACCTCTCCTCTCCTTCAGATGTACTTCTCTTCACTAAAGAGAAGCTTCCTAGTGATATCCACCAAACGGGGCATAACAAGATGTGATAAGATTAGGCACAAACCCACTTTAAAAACAAAAACAAACAAACGAAAACCAATTGTTACTGCATGCTAGTATGTATTCAAACATACACAGTATATAACACTACTTACTCAATAATCACTAACTGTTGCTGGCTTCTGTATTACCTTTCATGGCTTAGGGAAGTGTCCACTACTTTCATGCTGTCCTTTGTTCTGGCACTATTTCGTGTCACCTGTTCACCTTTCTCTTCATTGTCATTTCCTTTACATTCATGCAAACTCTTTAACAGTAATTACTGTCTTTTCTGCTAGGGTTTTCTTTCGTTCTGGAGGATCAACACTCTGGACCTGAGATAATCCTGAAAAGGGAGACGTCTGGACTACGTGGAAGACACTAATCATACTCGTGGCCTGGGTTAGTTACCAAGCATCACCTCACCCTGCTCGGTTGTCCCGACGCAGGCCATCAATATTTGTTCTATGAATAAGAGTATGAGTAAAGGGAAGTCAGCAGCGCGTCGCCAGAGGCCCTCCATAACTTGGGTGTGGAGCAGCACGTCTCAATATACTTCACTCAACTAAGCCCTTCTTCATCTTGACTACTTTGAGAACAGAATGGAATTCTGCGCCAACTTTCCCCCAGTCAATCTGCCCCCTCGGCAGTGGCTGAGAACGTGCTTCCCTGCACATGCCATCTAAAAACATTTTTTCCTTCCGTTCGGGAGCAATGATTGCCCCTTCTGTAAATCTCATAGCCCCCCACTTCCCGCCTCCTCCTCAGCCTCCTCAGCCTGCCGTCCCCGCGCGCTCCAGGGCCACAGCCTTGCCCGTCACAGAACTGCGCGTAAATCCGCCCTCTCCTCCGACCTCCCGCCACCTGCGCCGGCTTCCGCCCAGCTCGCCTTTGGGACAACTGATGCAAGGGAGCTCCGCTTTCGCGTCAGCGCCGGCGTGGGCGATGACGTCACCGCGCCCTGACGTCAGGCCAACGTGCGGCGCGGTCGCCCGGGAGACCGGGGAAGCCGTTTCACACCCTGCGGAGTCCCGGGCTAGGTGAGGGTCACAGCCTTTCTCCGCACTCAGAGGACCGGCTGGCAGGGACGCAGTTCCGGTGCGGAGGCTGCGGCGCGGGGCGGCGGGGCGGGGGCGGCGGCGGGGGCGGCGCGGCCTCTCGGCGCCCCGGGCGAGGCCTGGGCAAGTTAGTTTCCTGCAGTCCCCGGGATGTGACCTCCTGCTCTCCTGCCCCTGACCTGCCCGCAAGTGATTCAGGCCCCCGGAATGGTACTTGAGGAAGGGCCAGGAAGCAGAACCCGAGTTAATGACCGGGCGTGACACCGGTGGAAGAATGGGGAATGAACCACCGGGGACGTTTCTGCACTTAGGAAAACACGTCTTTCTCGTGACCAGGAGAAGCTTTGAAAACACCCACATAGCTGCAGCCACTTACCACCGTACTTTTGCCAAGGGCGCTTCGCACTTGCATAGTGGGGAAGACCGAAAGGAACTTGTTTGGTAGAACAAGCAAAATAATGCATGGGAAAATAAAAAATTACAAGTTTCTCCTACTAAAAAGCAAACAGAGCCCCACATCTCTTGAAAGACTGAATTATCTGTGAGTTCCTCTGCTTGTTTCATGGGTATCCAAATCTTACAAACACCCAATGGGCTTTTCTTAAAGGCATAGAAGTGATTACCTTAAAATAGTAGGAGTAACAAAAATAAACGGGAAAGAAACTACTGCCTTTGTCACCTTGTGAATTTAGGTGACTAGCTCTGTGTTGTAACGATCACCCTGCACTGCTTAGCAGAAAAGCAGCTACTACAGATTGCGATCACAGTTTACACGGGTTTACAATAAAGTAATGTGTACATTAAAAGTAATGTAATGTATACATTTAAACCGTGTTAAAGACTTCTTTATATGAGGGCAAGTTATTCATGTTTTGGGTTGAATGCAATGAATGTATCTTGGCTGGATGAAAAGCATGAGATTCCTAATCTTGTTACCATGTTTTCCTAGACGTGCGTCAAAGTCAAGTTAAGCGCATATTCAGTTTTCTCCACCACCACTATGTTTGGGAGAGCCTTCTGATACCAGGGTGCTATTTTTAATTTTTCTTTTGCAGTCAGAAGCCTGGCACTTCTGTTGGTATAAACAATACGTTGGAATAGAGTCACAGGGAAGGCACTAAGTTAAAAAAATGTCCTACTTTTTTTTTTTTTTTTTTAGTTATTTTACTTTTTTTTTTTTTTATACGGTTATTTAGATTCATGCTCACTAATTTTGTGGATGGTACTTTAAGAGGAGATTTCGTTGGTAATGTTAGGGGGAAATATGACTAGTGGAGCTGAAGATATTATCATTTCCATTTACTAATGATGGATTAACTGAGGATAATGAGCTTTCTGGTTTCTTGCCATGCGACTGTGACAGTATGCCAAATACCAGATTATGTGCTTGGTCACTTGGACCCATGTCGACATAATTGACTTTATTCCCATGGTTGACTTCTGTTAATATTTCCAAACACACACACACATTGTCTTGTGTTATATGTGGGCAGACAGCTCATTAGTTGTTTGTTTTAAATAGCAGTTTATTGAAATGAGGGACATTTGGGCTAACACAGGGCTGAAGAATCTCTGTTCCACCAATGGCTGTGCAGTTTACAAAAATAACACTAGTATTGTTTTTGTCTTCAGTCTCTTGCCCTAACCTAATGCCAATGGTGTTAGGAAGCCTTTGCTAACTTCCCGTCTTCTCAACCTAAAAGACAGGTCGTTATCCTTTCTGGACTCTTACATTCTTACCCTTGTTTGTCAGTCATGGGCCGTGAACCACATGAATCTGTTGCAGCCCTCTTCCATTCTGCTCTTGACGTCTTTCTTCTACTTTGGTGTGTGTGTGTGTGTGTGTGTATATGTTCATGGGTACACCGGTGCACGCATGCTATGTATGTGTGGAGGCCAGAGGTTGATGGCAAGTGTCTTCATCACTCTCCACCTCACAGGTCTCACTTGAATTCTGAACTGGTCGGGTCAGTGAGTCTAGCCACCCAGCTTGCTTCCAGGATCCCTTGTCTCTGCCTCCCAAGGCTGAGATTTCAGGTGGCCTTCTACACCAGCCCTGCATTGAGGGGTGCTGGGCTCACACTGTCAAGGACTTTATTCAGGAAGCTCCCTCCCTGGTCCATTTACTCCCTCCATGGATAGATAGACTTTTCACTGATAAGATAGGATTGAGTGTTCTTTATGCAATTTGAGAACATTTTGAAGGAAGAAAATATGTCTCTGTTGTCTGTGATTTCATGAAGGTAATAAGAGTTTTATACTGAATTGTAGGTATTAGAAAATGAAAATCTGTTAAAAGTAAAATCTAGGTACATAGATACATAGATATCCATCTCAGCTACAGTTGGCATGTGGTCTTTGATGTTATGCTCAGTGCCTGTATATCATAATCTAGTAACTAAGTATCTTTTAGACTCCCTATCTTAAACAAGCCTAGATGGCACAAGTGCTTTTTTTTTTCTTCTGATGATCTATAACACGTTATTATAGTTGGTATTCCTTCCATAGCTTTTCAGAAAAATGTTATTTTAGAATGCTGAAATATGTCTTTAAATTTTACAGTTACTTTATTGCAAAACAAATAATTGGTAAACCACTATTATTTTTACTATTAGCTTGTACATTTCTGAAAAATAGAAAAGATGTGTAAGTCAATAATTGCTATGGCTTCCTGTGTGAAGCTTATAAACACTGAGGAGACTTAAACTGTACCTTCAAATTTGGAACTGACAAAACAAACAGCTGTTAAAGTACTTGTTGCCAGTTTATCCCAAAATGCTAAGAATTTTTAAATCATTTGCATTTCCTTGTCATTATATGAATTCTGACTATTGTCACCAATGTTTTCTTTAGACTCTTTTTCTGCAGTGCTCTCGGTACATTTGGGGAGATTATGGATCGGCACATTCCCGTGCATGCGTTACCTGAGGAAATCCAACAGGTATGATGCTTCATCCTAAGAGCGTCACATTAGGAGCGCTTAGCAGTTAGACTGTTCCAAAATAGAGTCAGTTTAGAAAGCTATGGCAGAATCAGTGATGCATTTTTGATGAGAGAAGGAGTAATCACAACACTGTGGACTTGAACTGTGAAGAATATGTAATAAGACAGACATAATTCCACAAAGGTATTTAAGTGGCTAGTTTTAGAGACATAGTAGAAGCAGATCCTAGAAATGTTCATGCTTGTATCTTTTTTGTGATTTTCTTTACATAATACATCTTTACATATAGTTATCATTCACTGTGTGCCAGGTTGCTGGTTTGCCTTAGACAGAATCTAATTGCATATCCTTGGCTGGCTTAGAACTCGCTACATAGACCATGCAGGCCTGGAATTCACACAGCTCTCCCTCTCTTTGCCTTGTGAGTGCTGGGATTAAAGGTGAGCATTACTGTAGCTGTTGTTTAGGTAGGATTTTAATCAGTTACTAATCCTTTTGTCCTTTGCTCTACCCGGATGGAAATTGTGGGTAGTAGGCAAGGAGAAGCTTTTTTAGGATTTATCCCTTAGGCATTTTGAGTGTTGGTAGTAGGCAGGCCAGAACAAAAGCAGGTGGCATGGGGTATTCAGCTGTCAGGCAGGCCTCCAGTAGCAGGAGCCTTAGGTTTAGACGTGTTAGAGCCCCTCTACAGGCTTAGAGTACCAGGACCCTTAGAAGTATTTCAGCTCTTGTATGGGCCCAGGAAATTGGGATTCCTCAGCTCTTGATGGTAACCAGTTTTAAAACTCCTAGGCCTGGGACTGGCTGAAACTCCCTGGCTCTAAGAGATGTCACACTTTCTGGTCCCTCACAGGCTTCCATTCTTCAGCTCCCTGTCCTCTCTGTGTTTCCACTGCTCCTCTTTTTCTTGCCCTGGCCACTCTCTTGGATTATTCAGTTGCCTTTTGTTGCTATGGCTACTGTCTTAGTCGCCACTAACACTCTTTTTCGGCTGTTGCGGTCACGTGCACAGTTTAGTGGCTCCATGTCTTGCAACTGCCAGTCTGCCGATTTACAGCTTTGGCTGTTGACTGTCCACCTCTGCTCTCACTTCGGCTGTCAAGTGGCTGGCTGCTTTGTTAGTTCCATAGCTCAGTGTGCTGGCCTCCCAGCCATGACTACTGCAGCTGATCCACCATCTCTGTTCTTCTTGTTACCAGCTCAGCCTTGCTTCCAAATGTGAGCAAGAAGTCACCACAGGGATGAAGCCTTCTCCTGAGCCCAGTGTTGCAAAATGAGGGAGGAAACACAGAAGGTGTCTCCTCTCCAGCTCCTCAAGTCAGCACACAGTTAGTTTATACAGCCAGAGAAACAGCGTTTACAGGAAGCACCGCCAGCTTCCCATGCGGACGGCCCTTTCTTGTCACCAAACAAGACAATGCCCCCTTTGTACCTGTTGCTAACAGCCACTTCGCTAGGGCTCCATGGAAAATGCTCCCCCTCTCTGGCCTAGAGGCCAGAGATAGAAATCACTGCGGGGTCACCTAGAGTTTACTTAGGCCTGTGATAGCAGAAGCTCCGATACAAATGGTTTAAAAAAGTTCTGGCTGTGGCTGCCTCTTCAAGAGCCAGAGCAGGCTGCTGTGACCATTGTGTCATTTGTTCAGGCCTCTCAGAAGTGTTCAAAATGGCAGATTCTGGTCTAGAATAGTTCAGCTGGCTATGTGACGGACAGTCTTTTTATTAACTCAAGGCAGCCAGAGTAGCAAGGGAAAGTCAACAGCTGTACCCAGAGAAGCAGATGGCCACACCCCCAACAACTTTTTTTCTTATAAGACAAGTTATAACTCTTCTTTCTTATGGGAAAACGTAAGTTTTAAAATACCACCATTAACACTGGTAGTATTCCAATAGTACTCCAATAATACTTAGTGCCTGTATAACATCCCAAAGAGAAGAAAATCCCCCATTTATCTCAATTTCACATTGAAATTGTGTATATTGTGTGTGGGTATTGTGTATTGTGTGAGTATGTGTGCGAGTGTGAGTTTATTGTGTGTGTATTGTGGTTGTGAATGTATGAGTGTGAGTTTATTGTGTGTGTATTGTGTGCAAGAATGTGTATAATATGTGTGCCTGTATTTTGTTTTTATTGTGTGTGTGGGAGTCTGTATTATATGTGAGTGTGTGAGTGTATGACTGTGTGTGTGTGACCACAGCACGTGGAGGTCAGAGGATGACTTGTGCGAGTTGGTTCTCGTCTAGCGTGTGGGCCCTAGCGCTCATATTCAGGCTGTCAGGCAATCAGTATCTGTATTTGCTGAGCTGTCTTATCAGCTTTGATTTCGTATTTACAATTCCTTTAGTCTACTTAAGAAGCAGTTCTTTGCTTTCATGCTTCCCTTCTCCATATTAACTTATACCTGTTATGGCCCGTTAACATTAGTCATGGCATCGATTTGACGTGGTGCTGTTCTTGTGTCCACCTTCCAGATTTATGGGACATTAAAGGAAGTGTACTTACCAGAAGAGATCCTTTAAACGCCTGCCTGTGATCCTCTGAAGTTCACTGTAAAATGCTAAACATATAGTGAGCTCAACTATGCTGCTAATTGAGGAATGGTGCTTCCGTAGGTTTGAAAAATGCAACATCTTCTCACCTGAACTGTGTTCCTTTCATAAAATAGCCTGAGTGTGACAGAGATGAAAAGAAACCATAAAATAAAACAAAATCCTAAAAGCAAAAGCCTACATTTCAGATCCTAATCACTTGTCAGGAAGAACATGAAATAACATTAAAAGTCTACAAGAAAGTGTTATGAGTGAAGTTCCAAATAAGCCAGCGGTCCAGGAGGTCAGAAAGATGCTTCAGCTGGTATAGGCACCTGCTGCCAAGCCTGATGCTCTCAGTTGGAACCCTGGGACTAAGGATGGAAAGAGAGAACTGGCTCCTGCAAGTTGTCCTGTTGAGAACGGAATCCCTGGATTCTGGGGACCATTAAAGGTGGTATTTTGTGCAGGAGACGTGGCCCAGAGTTGCTTCCTGGAAGTTGAGTATTTCAGTAGACTTAGAGTTGCAGGGTTCTTTTTGTCGTGTTTGAGGTAACAGTGAGTTTGGCAGAGACTGTCCTGGCAATGCAGAGAAGTGGGGAGCAGGAGAGACTCAGCTGCTTAAATCCAGGGACAAGTGTGCTAGTTACAGCCTTTCCTGCTCACGCTTAGAATGTAAAGTATAGCTTTGTGCTTTGTTTTGTTTTGTTTTGTTTGGCCTGAGTTAGATAGATACACTTACACAAAAGTACTTCTATACTCATGATATCATGTGTAAAGTTTTTGGTGGTTTGACTATAAAGCAGCCAGCATATATATATGTATATGTATATGTATATGTATATGTATATGTATATGTATATGTATATGTATATGTATATGTATGTATGTATATACGTGTATGTATGTATATGTATATATACACATGTATATATATATGTATATCTATACACACACATATATATAGACATCCCCAAAATTAGAAAGTCTTTAAAAAGCATTTTTTTGAAACTTTTCACTTATGTGCTATCTGCATTGTCCACATTAACTTGTTTAATTATCTAATGATCAGGCAGGATTCTGTTATCAGCTTACTTATGTCATTCTGTACAGAATCATGTTAAATATATATATATATATTTATATATGTGTGTATATATATATATATATATATATATATATACACACACACACATACATATTAAGAATCTCTGATCTGAAATGCAAAATGCTGGAAGTATTCAAGTGCTTGTCTTATGCTACACATGTAAATTCTACACTATGACTTTGTTTCTTAAGATGTTGTATAGGATCATATGTAGGTGTTTAACACAGGTAAAACATGAATGGATATTGTATTTACATTTGGACTTTAGCTCAGAGATCTCATTTTATATATGATTATATTTTAAAGTCTGAGAAAATCTGAAGTCTGGACCACTTGTGGTCATAAGCATTTTACTTAATAATTGTCATGAATAATTTGTAATGATAATGGTAATAATTTAAATTAGAATCAGTTTGTTTAAAATTTTTTTTTTCAGTTCATTTTTAAGGAGAAAAAGGGACATTTTTCATAATGCTTAGAAAATGTGCTCCACTTTTTTGGGAGGCAAAAATACTTGAGGTGGATGAATCCATGTCAGTGTACAGTGACTGAGATGTCTTTCAAAGCCTTTTTTTTTTTTTTTCTTTCTTTCTTGTCTCTTAACTTTTTGTATTACTTTATGGGCTGGTTCTTCTTTCTGAAGACGCCCCCGCTGTGTTTCTTTATTTTCTTTTTCTGTGTATAGACAAGGAGGGCTTCTGCAGAAATCAGAGAGGAGAGGCAAGGGAGCCTTTCTTCTTTCTCTCTGTACTTTTGCTGTGTGATATGATAATGGATGTTCAATGTATTAAAATGTGAAAATGGCTATGCTTCACTGTACCATTAATAGCAAAATGAGCAGTAGTGGAGAAATGACAGTTGGAGGAAAGTAAAAAGGAGGTGAGAGAGGGCCATCAAAGAAAAGAATGGAGAAGAATAATGGGTAATAAGCCGAAGTTAGAGTCTATTGCCTACTCAGAGGCAAAGATTAAGTCTTCTTTCTTTGGTCTTATCTCCTCAGGGAATCTTAGGGAAGAAGGAATAAGATAATCTTTGACTTTCATTTCCTGGTTCTTTTTTCTTTTTATCGTGGTTTCTGGCTGAGCACAGAGCGCTTCTCAGACTTCTATCTCCAGAAGTGACAGCAAGTGTACAAGAGGCCCATGGGGTGTATATGTCCCCTTTGTCTTTTGCTGGACTCTACATTTTACTTCTGTGTGTACTTAACACTATCTTGTACCTGTTCTTTCTCTAGGCTGTCTCTACCTGTCACTGTCCTCAGATAACCAGCAGCATTGCTGGAAGCCTCATCCAGTATTCTGCAAGTGGAATGCAGTACAGTTCTGCATACTTTTACTGGTTAAATTGAAAACAGCACTTA